AGTGTTGTTCACTATATGTGCATTATTGTAGAAAAGGTTTCTAGAACATTTTCATCTTGTATGACTGAAACTTTGTACTCATTAGACAATAACTCCTCATTTCCTCATTCCTTTAGACTGGCAACCAACGTTCTACTTTCTGCTTCTGAGTATGACTATTTTTTGGTGACTCATAAAAGTGGAATCATGCAGTGTCTGTCCTGATGATTGACTTTTTCCACTTAGCATCATGTCCTCAAGTGTCACTTCTGTTGTTATATATGACAGGACTTTATTTTTTTTAAAGCTGGATAATATTCTATTTTATACATATACATACATACACACATATTTACAGTTATATATATACAGTTGCAAATATCTCTCCAAGATCCTGCTTTCAGTTATTTTAGATAAGTATGAAGTAGAATTTCTAGATCATATAATGGTTCTATTTTTTATTTTTGAGATATATTCACACTATTTCTTATAGTCTCAGCACTATTATCCACTAATACCGAGAGGGGATATGAGTTTCAATGTATTTATATTATTTTCAATACTGATTATTTTCTGCTTTATTCTATTTTGATATCATCCATCAATAATAGGCATGAGTTAATATTTCATTGTGGTTTTGATCTGTCTTTGCTTACTGATTATTGACATTTAGCATCTTTTCATCATGAATATGTGGTCATTTGTATGTGTTTTTTTTTTTTTTTTTTGACGTTTTAGAAGTTCCTCATGTATTTAGATATTACCCCTTATTAAACATATGTTCTGCAAATATTGTTTCCTATTTTACAGGTAGCCTTTTTACTCTGTTGATGTTTTACTTTGCTGTGTTAAAATATTTTGGTTTGACACCGTCTCACTTGCCTGTTTTTGCTATTGTTTTCTGTGCCTTTTATGTCATATTCATAAAATCATTACCTGTACTAACGTTATAAAGGTTTTTCACTATGTTTTCTTCTGGGAATTTTATTGTTTCATGTCTTATATTTAAGATTTTAAACTATTTTGAGTTAATTTATGTTTGTGCTCTTAGATAAGAATACAATTTTATTCTATTGCATCTGAATATCTTTGGCACATGAAAAATATTCAAATTTTCCCAACACCATTTTGAAGATACTAATATCATTTTGATGTTTGTCCCTTCTAAATCTCATGTTGAAACATAATCCCCAATGTTGGAGGAAGGATCTGGTGGGGAATGTTTGGCTCTTGGGGGCAGATCCCTCGTTAATGGCCACTATTGCAATAATGAATGAGTTCTCACTCTGAGTTCACAGGAGATCTGGTTTTTTAAAAGATCATGGTACCCTGCACCCCCTTGCTCACAGTCTTATTATATAATATACTGCCTCTCCTTTCCCAATGATTGTAAGCTTCCTGAATCCCTCACCAGAAGCAAATGCTGCAGCCATGCTTGTATAGCCTGCAGAACCATGGGTCAACTAACTCTTTTTTTAATAAACTACCCAGCCTCTACTGTTCCCTTACAGAGACACAAGAATGGACTAATACAGATACTATCCTTTCAACATTGTGTATTCTTAACATCCTTGTTGAAGATCAGTTGACTATATATACATGGTTTTTTTCTGGACCCTCTAATTTGTTTCATTGGTCTATATGTCTATGTTTACACCTGTACCATGTTATTTTGCTTTCTGTAGCTTTGTAGTATGTTTTGAGGTTAACTTTGTTCTTTTATGAGATTGTTTGTCTTTTGGGGGTCCTTTGTGGTTCTTTATGAATTTTCAGTTTATTTTGTCTATTTCTGAAAAAATAAAATGGCATTGGGATTTTGATGGGATTGCCTTGACCCTATAGATCACTTTGGGTGGTACTGACATTATTTTTCTTTCAACTCCTTTATGAAGTTAGTTACAAAAAAGATATACATTCTGATATTGATAATTCTCATCATGAATAAGAACATCAAAAATAAGGCAATAACAAGATGTGCTTCACATATCAACAATCATGTTGTTAGAATAAGAAACCTGAATTCCTGTACAACAAAAAGATTAGGAAGCAAAATGTGAGTAAGCTTGCATTCAGAATATACCTATATGTGTGTGCAAAAACAATATACTCATTATATACCTCACTTAAGTTCCTTTATGATGCATAATTCCCTAATCATTTATTTGTGAAACAAGAATGATTATTAAGAAATGTGAAATCCAAATTGAATTTATTTTCACAATATCAATGCTAAACTCAAAATAGATACTTCATTGACTCTCAATGGTAAATTTCAAACATGGAAAGCAATCTTAATTTTTGTAAACCTGTGAGTGGGGTATGCAAAAAACAGATGGACTATCTTACTCTACTTACAAAGAGGCTGGGTCTCAGCCTGCACTTAAATATCATGAGCAACAAAAAACAGGAAACAAATATCAGTAAGAGTAATGCCCATACATATAAAAATATCTGTTTGAGCCATGTTGTTTGTTCTCACATAGCAAGCCTATTAAACCACTAGAAGATTATATCTCATGCAACAGATTTACTAAATTAACTACACATCTATCAGAAATTTCCAAATCCCTGCTCCCAACAAAATTTTAGTACAACTATCAATTGCCATGGGTCATTTAGAAAAAAACAGAAAAATATATATTCTAAGTCTTTGCAATTAAAAACAATCATAACATAAACACTGTTCGATGTAAATTTTGAACTAAATATATTTTTTCTAAATACAATTTATGTAATCAAGGCTTTTTAAGCAAAGATAGGTATTAGCTATATGATCTGTACAAACCTACAGTAGTGATATTCCAAACAAAGATTTTTCTTCCTACTATGGTAGGATAATATAACTGTTTTCTGAATGAAGATACATGTTAAGGCTTAAGGAGACAGACAGGCAAAAAAAGCCAAGACCCATTGGTATGCTACATCCAGACCCATCTCACATGCAAGGATACACAAAGACTCAAAACAAAGGGATGGAGAAAGATTTACCAACCAAATGGAGAGCAAAAATAAATAAATAAGTAGAAAGCAGGAGTTGCAATTTTTGCTGATAAAATAGGCTTTAAAGCAACAAAGATCAAAAGAAGCAAAAAAGGATATTACATAATGATAGAAGGATCAATGTAACAAGAAGAGCTAAAGATCCTAAATATATACGCAACCAATACAGGAATACCCAGATATATAAGACTTATAAAGAGACTTAGACTCTCACACAATAATAGTGGGAGACTTCAACATCAATATTAGACAGATCAATGAGACAGAAAGTTAACAACGATATCCAGGACTTGAACTCAGATCCGGAACAAGTAGACTTAATTAACATTTATAGAGCTCTCCACTTTAAATACACAAAATATACACTCTTTTTTTTTTGAGATGGAGTTTCGCTCTTGTTACCCAGGCTGGAGTGCAATGGCGCGATCTCGGCTCACTGCAGCCTCCACCTCCTGGGTTCAGGCAATTCTCCTGCCTCAGCCTCCTGAGTAGCTGGGATTACAGGCACGCATCACCATGCCCAGCTAATGTTTTGTATTTTTAGTAGAGACGGGGTTTCACCATGTTGACCAGGATGGTCTCGATCTCTTGACCTCGTGATCCACCCGCCTCGGCCTCCCAAAGTGCTGGGATTACAGGCGTGAGCCACAGCGCCCGGCCCACAAAATATACACTCTTATCAGTACCACATCACACCTATTTACAGGTTTAAATGAAATATTGGTTGGCTGCTTGTTAGTTATTTTCTTCCCTCATTTTTTTTCATGCCTCTATTATTAAACACAATTATAGGCATATCCATTTTTAGACTGCATTCTAGCCCGGGCAATAAAACAACACCCCTGTTCTCCCTCCCTCTTCCTCTTCCTCTTTCTTTCTCTCCTTCATTTTCTTTTTTTATTCTTTCTCTTTCTTTCTTTCTCTCTTTCTTAAAAAAAAAAGAGAAGAGGCACAGGCATCCTACCTTTAAACAAACACTTCTCTTAAAAAAAAGAAAAAAGGCTTAAGGAGGAAACAGCTTAGTGAAAAAAATGCTGTTCATTTAAAAATGTATATCATCTCATAATAGGCTGCTGAACTTTCAAATTTACATGTGAGAATACATTTACATCTTAAATTTCTAGGAAAGGCACACATGTTAGGGGGAAAAAAAGCAGCAAAATTTTCAACCCACCAATATATTGGCAAAGCCATGACTTTTATTAGAAACAAATAATGCTTCTCAAGAAGTTGGCAACATGTCATAGTATCAACATATACTTTATACAGTGTATTTCTCCCTTTAATTATATTTCAGCAGGAGGTGAAATACGTCTTTCGCTATGACAATCAGACGTAATTGATGAACTCTGTAGACTCCTTGTACACAAACCAAGCATTTCCTACCCAAAATATATTCGGAAAGCCAAAGATCACAGATACATTTAGGGATCCCATACTGGTCACAGAGCCAAAGTAACACAGCCCTTCTTTCTTCTTACAAGGTGAAAGTTCCTGAACAATATTGTGACCAGTAGCTATTTTAACATCTGTTGGAGCTTCAACCTGGGCTGAAGTGCTGGCCTACCATAAAAAAGTGGCAATAAGCGTAACGGCAAAGTCAATTATAGGAAGTGTGCGACTATCTGGATATAGGCTCCTGTAGCCAACATAAAGCAGGGGGGCAGCAATGCAGTACAAGAACACAAAGACAGCAAAGGTAACATAGAACTGTGCAGAAGGAGGGTAAACGCCTATGAGGACAAGACTTTCCAATTTACATCACATACGTTTACACCTGGAGGTGGCTGAAATGATGCCTCTTTACACCTGAGTGTATAACCAAAACCAGCTGTAATAGTTTTATTCTCAGTAATTGTGGGAGGACAACTCAGTTGGATTTCTGTTTGGCCCTTAAAACCTCCACAGGTGGCAAAAGCAAAGATAGAAGCAATCCATTCGAGGACCTTGATGAAGTCAAGCGGCACCTTGAGCCTGTTGAGATTGATCTGGAAGCCAGGCATCCTCTGAGGGAAGGAGTGGGAGAGAGTCAGGACGGCAGGGTGGAGAAGGAAGGGACCGAGGAGACGATAGCAGCCGGGCGGCGGGGAACAGGTACTGATATTTTAATAATATTAAGGCTTCCAATATTGATACAGGATATCTTTCCATTTATTTGTGTCTCCTTCAATTTCTTTCATCAATGTTATATTGTCGTTCATTTCCTTGGTTAAGATAATTCCCAAGTATTTTTTCGTTCTTTTTGATATTATTGTAAATGGTATTGTTTTTAAATTTCTTTTTGAAAATTGTTCTTTGTTAATGTGTAGAAACACAACTGATTCTATACGTTGATTTTGTATCCTGGAAATTTTCTGAATTCATTTACTGGTTCTAACAGTTCTTACATGGGATCTATTGTGTTTTCTACCTCTGAAGTGATGTCCTATGTGAATAGAATTGATTTTATTTCTCTTTCTAATTTGGTTGCCTTTTATTTTTTTCTCTCGCCTAATTTCTCTAGCTGGGACTTCTAGTACAATGTTGAATAGATGTGTTAAGAGTGCACATTCTTGCCTTATCCCTGATTATAGGAGAAAAGCTTTCTTTTTTTTTTTTGACAATGACTGTGATAAAGCTATGTTTTTCAATTTCTAGTTTTTTAAAAAAATTATAAACAGTGCTGAGTTTTGTCAAAATCTTTTTCTATATCTGCGAAGGTGATCAAGTGATTTTCACTGTTAATTGTTTATGTGTTGTATCATACTGATAGATTTTTTTAAATTGAAAACACATAGGGTTTTTTTTTTTTTTTTA